GTGACTTGTCAGAGGACCCATGTCTGCCAGGAACGGGGCTACCTTAGTGTCCCTGTCTCACTCAGCAGCCCGTGTGCGGGGTGACTTCACTGTCAACGTGTGGGTGGATTTGGAAGTGCAGCAGCTGGGGCCCCCTCTCCTGGGAGCTCGCTTGGCTAGGTACCTTCTCAGGGTCACCAGAGTGGGGAATGAAGATGCATTAAGACCATCCCGCAGTGATGAAGAGCATGAGATTCAGAGCAAGGACGAAGGTTCAAGTTCAGGCTCTGTCTCTCGCTTGCCAGGTGACCCTGAGCAAGTGCCCTGACCTCAGTTTATTATTATGGCAACAAGAATAAAACCCATCTCACAGGGATGCTGGAGACTTAAAAGGAGGAATAGGGAGATGGACAAGCCCAAGACTTTGTCAGCCACTCAAGGTGACCAGCAGCCCAGGTGACACAAGCATGCTTGGTCCTTTTGTGAGCACTTCTGGGGAGTTTTTATATTTCAGAGCCTTGTAAATGAAATGCTGTTTTCTTGGTACCAAGGACAAGACAGTGTGACAATGTATATTGGTCTAGTGTATTCTTTAATCCAGTGATTTGCCTTCTGGGGCACAGCTGTGGAATATATAGATTTCGGATGTCTGCCACAGGTGTAATTTTAACATTTTTTAGGAGCCGCAGTAAAAAGCAAAAAGAAACAGAGAAGTCCATTTTGATTTAATTCAACATCTCAGAAAGTTCTGTCATTTCAACATGCAATCAATATAAAAAATGATCAGTTGTCGGGGCACCTGGGTGGCTCAGTGGGTTAAGCGTCTGCCTTCAGCTCAAGTCATGATCTCGGGGTCCTGAGATTGAGCCCCACATCAGGCTCCCTGCTCAGCAGGGAGTCTGCTTCTCCCTCTCCCTCTGCCTCTGCACCCCACTTGTGCTCTCTCTCTCTCAAATAAATCAATAAAATCTTAAAAACAAAAACTGCCCCAAGTGATTGTAATTTCCCTCTGGGGCTGAATCCACGGAATGAGGAAGCCACGTGCGGTGCCTGGCTTTGGCCCCCACCTAGGCCCACCCAGTTTTATCATTGTTAATTATCTCCCGAGGCCCAAGCCCAGGAGAGTGGGTAGGGGGTGTGGGGAGGTACCTGGGTCTCTCAAGCTGCTGCCTCAAGAACTGGCTGACCGTAGCCTCCTCGAAGCCATAGTTGAGGGTCCAGAAAACACACAGGTGCTGATGCTGCTGGATCAGGCCCAGGATGGTCCGGAGGCCTTGGGCCAGGCTGAAGGCATCCTTCCCACAGCCCTGCTCCCAGGCGAATATCGTCAGCAGCTCCAGGGCATAGGCCGGAGGCAGCATCTCCCTCCTCTCCTCCTCCTGGCACACCTGTAAGAGGGTAAAGGGAGGGGAAGGAGAGAGCTCTCTGCAGAACTTTGCTGGATCTCTCAGTCTCTGGGGCGCGGACCCCACAGGCTGAAGCCTGGGACGAGATGCTGTGTTCTAGAAGCAACCTGATCTTTCTCATCTGCCCTCACTCCTGGAGCTTCAGCCAAGTTGTGGGCTCATATGAGATCCAAGCTCCTGGGACTGGGGAGCAGTCAGAGAGAGGCCAGTGGGTAGTGTGAAACTGTTACTGATCCCCCAAAGGAAAGCATGGCAGAACTTGCCCAGGGTCAGAGGGCAAGTCAGTGGCTGAGCAAGAACAGGAATCCAGGACCTCTTCATCCTAGACTTGCTTTATGATGAGTGGTCCAACAGAAGGACCAAGCCATGTGCCCTGAGATTTTGCGGGGCCTGATCTCTCATCTCTAGGCACAAGCTGGGCACCCCTCCCTCAATACACAAGAGCCTATCCACAAACATGAATATTTCGGAGGGAGGGTGTTATTCCTGAGGCTGGGATGGGAGGTGTACAAACTCCACATTACTTCATACCATACATAAAATATTCCAAGTAGTTTCAAAGCCCTAACACCACAGGAAAAGAAACATCTTAAAACCTTTTGAAAGGAAACACAGAAGAATAATTTTTAGAAAGTCAGGATAGGCAAAGCCTTCTTACATAAGACGCACAAAGCACAAATCACATAAGAAAAAGATGAATGCACCTGATTACATTAAAATTCAAACATTATCTGTGACAAAAGACCTATGAACAAAGTGAAAGTACAAGCCTCGGACTAGGAGAATAGATTTGCATTATATCAACTCCCTAAGAATTAGCACCCAGACTATATAAAGAGCTCCAACAAACCAACAACAAGAAGACAGCTAACGCAGTAGAAAATAATAAACAAATGATATGAACAGGCAATTCCCATAAAGAGACACATGAATGGCTGCGAAGCCTAAGAAAATATTCTCGCTGTCATGAAATCACAAATTCCGTCACGAGTGCCTGGAACAAGGACCCTTGGTGGTGGCCTCACCTGACTGTACCAATGCTTCACAGCAGGATCAGGTTCTTCACCTTTGCCGAGCGAACATTCACAAAGTTCCTCCGCAGTTCTGAGAAGCAGGCGGAGTGCTCGCTGCCCTGGCAGCCACTTTTGAGAAGCGTCGAGTAGACCTGGGGCGCAGGTTTGATGTTGGAACTGAGCTGCCCTGGGGGTGTGAAGTGCCTGAAGTCAGGAAGGGTTCTGAGGCACAGGATGGAGAAACTGGGGGGAATTTGGTGGCAGGGGGCGGAATCCACTAGCATGGGGGGTTTGGAGGATGAGGAAGAGAGCCTGGAGCTTCTCAGGAGGCAGAGAGGAAAGCTCGAGACCAGAAGGAAAGGTCCCTTCCTTCCAAACCCAGGGCCAGGCTGAAGAAGAGCAGCCGTATTCCAAGGTGGCTAAACAGGAATGATGCTTCGAGCTGAGTCAGGAGTACTTAGAATGCGGCAGTTCTGCCCTCCCCGAGGCTCCCTCAGGCGGCACCAGAATTCCACCATACATACCTTTAATTAATCGGTGCTATAGGGAAAGGAAACGAAGCTGGAGAAGTAAAAGGCAAAAGGTCCTGATGCCTTAGCAGTGATAGCTAATATTGTTTGAGTGCTCACGACACTCCAGGCAGGCACTGGGCTGAGAGTTTCACGTTGAGTCCCCCATAGCCCCACCAAAACCTGATCAGGCAAATATTCCTCACCTCATTTCACAGCTGAGGACCCCGAGGCACAGAGAAGAAACTCAGTACTCTTCCTAAGGTTACATAGCTGACAAGTGATGGAGACAGGACTGGAACCTAAAGCTGGCTGACTTTATGGTCTGTGCCTTTCCCTCCACCACTTGCTGTGGGCCTGGCCTGGGAAAAGTAAGCCCTCTCCATAACTGCCCAGGTTCCTGACACCGCTTACTTGCTGTGTGACTTTGGGCGAGTTACTATCCGTCTCTGTGCCTCAGCGTCCCTCTTGGTAAAAAGGAAGATACAACAGTACAGTTCTCACAGGTTTGTTTGGAGGGATTAATGAGATAAAACGTCAGGAGCTTGGAACAGTGAAGCATTTAATAAGGAGTAGCTATTATGATTAATGTTTGCATACCCAGAGGGTGGGTGTACCAGACGGGGAGAGCGTGGCTGTCTTCCAGGACCTCATAACTGGATAAACTCAAGAGACCTATCTCCCAGGGCATCATGGTTAATAATAATAATAATAATAATAATA